TAAAAGTATTATATTTTAGGGCATTATTTTTATCGTAGGAGTACGCAATGAGGGTTGCAGAGTGGATTATATTTGGGGGTAGGAGGTGGGGCTTGGGGAGGTGCAGGGGCATTGTGTACCAATGAGGGAGTTTTTCTTTTGCTTTTCAAGGAGAGGAGCAAATGGGAGGGGGGAGGGGTTTATGCAGGGAGAAGGGTGCAGCAATGAATGAATGGAATTCCAAAATCTCTGTAGATGTTCATTGAAATGAAAAATAAACAAACTAAATTTAAAAAAAAGTATAATTTGAGCAAACACATTAGTTAAGACATTATGGAACTTATCTTCCTCTGCGTACAGAGTGAGGTTTTAAAAGCTGCTCTAATGCACAAAAACCGCAAAAGAAAAACAAAGCTAAATTCATATTTAGAAATCCAGATATTTTCTCCTCTTCAAATGTGTTCAAAGAGAGAGACATACATGCAATCTGTATGTGGGGAAAATTGCAGGTTAGCTAAGAATTATTTGTGAAGGAACAAAAATACAGCCTTGCAATTTTGCTTACTTTGGTTGAAATTTTTCTACTTGATGAGGAAAAAAAAACCTTTTGGGGCATTTTTACTCTTAGAAATATGTAGAACACACCGAAAGCTGTTAACCAATCAAAAATGTCTTTGACTAGGAGGACTTGTGGCTAAATGGCAGAGCAAGGTGGCCCACGGGCTGTGAGAGGGATTTTCCCGATGCCTCACAAAGCTGTGGGGGCAGTGGCAGTTCATCACTAGAGTTTTCACCTTTCATACAGGAGACTCAGGTTCAATTCCTGGCTAATACGCAGTGACCACCTATCCATCCCTCAGTTTGTTAGTGGTAAGGAATTGTGCTGCCAAAGCAAAGGTATGCGGTTGGAATCCACCAGCTAGCAGCTCTGCAAGAGAAAGACGGGCAATCTCCTCCCTGCTGCAGGGCCAGCTAAGAGTTGGTTCCGACTTGTTGATACACAACATGTACCAGGTTTAAGAGAGGTCTGGTGATCTCTTCTCAAAGTCGGCTAATGAAGACTCTATGGCTCACAAGGATCCCACCTGCGATCATTGATGGTGAGGAGACAGGACAGCATTTAACTGCACTGTGTGTGGGATGTCATGAGGTGGGAGCTGATCTGACAGTAGCCAATGACAGCTCGAAGCCATGGGGCACTGCTAGCTATGAGCAGAGCAGGAGAAGGAATCAGAGGGCAGGTGAGCCGACCTTCCAGGAGTCTTCCTCCACCTCATCAACACTTATGCCCCTCATTCAAGGTTAGCCCTGTTTATTCTCCCTTGGCACAACTGCCCTCTTCAATTCACATCTGCTGATTATGTATCAGTCTTATCACACTTTTCTATGAGGTAACAGTTCCTGGCAAACAGAAAATGACAAAGGGCCCTCACTGTAGAGACTGGCCACAGGATCTGCAGGACACACAGAAATCTGCCAGCTACCTTCCTGGGTCTCCCGCCCTTCTGGAGAGCCCAAGACAAATGCCATCATCTATATGATGTTCCCTGCTGAACAAGCGTTAACAGGACCCCTCGCTGTCATTCTGACTCATCTCACTTAAGGTCTGATGGGCTTCCAGGCACAATGGACAGGTGGTGGGAATGTCCCAGGGCAGCTCCAATGTGTGCTTTCCTTTTATCAGGAAAAATGAAAAAAAAAAAATCTCAATGAATTCAGCAAAAAGCCAATCCCTAAAAGGTAGCAGCTGATATCCAGCGAAGGATGTACTTTCCTACAAGGCTCTCTGGGAAGGATCTGACTTGTGGAAACGTGCATCATTCACTAGAGGCAATGGCTGGTTGTGTTTCAGAATGACTGAAATGACTTTCAGGAGAAATAGTCACAGCAAAGTATCATTAAAACGTTGAGTATGGTCAAACAACAAAAAGGTGCTGATTCGTGTATAGCTTATTAGTGGTTACCCGGGGCAAGACGAAGGGGTGGGGAGTGGAGTCCTTGTTTAGGGAATGTTGAGCTACTATTCAGAGTGATGTGGGAATGGGAGAGTGTGATGTTACCACATGATGAATACAATTAACATCACAGAGTAGCATATGCAAGCGTGGTGAAAAGGCAAATGTTCTGTTAGAAAGGTATGGTTTGCCAAGTGGAGCCTATGACTTTTGAATACTTATTTTCCAAAGTTTCATATATAGAAAATTCAGTAAGAACAGGTAAACGTCTTTGCCTTACACACATTTAAATAAAATTCTGAGGAGCACAAGAACATCACAATGACAACTGCTGCCTGAGAAACCCACTGACGTATTCTTGTCATTGTTATTACATACCATGGAATCAGAATACAACTCCTAAGAGCCCTATGAACAAGAGACCTGAACCCTGTCCTTCCTGTCTGTGCCACCCTCACAATCCCTGACGCATTCAAGTCCACTGCTGCAGTCGCTGTGTTGGTCTTCCAGCAGCATGATCAGAATATGCAAGAGCAAGTTTTGTCATCCTTGCCTCTAAGGAACATTCTGGCTACACCTTCTTTAAGACACATCTGTTTGTTCTTTTGGCAGGACTTCAGATAGTTTGTACTCTTCTCCAACACCACAGTGCAAAGGCATTGAGTTTTCTTCTGCCAGCCTTATTCCTTCTCCAGCTCTCAGAGGCATATCAAGGGATTAAAAAGACCATGGACTACATCAGGCACACCTTAGTCTTTATACAGACATCACTGCTCCTCAGTACTTTGGAAAGGTCTCTGACAGCAGACTTTCCCAACAGAAAACAGCTTTTGATTTCCTGGAGTGCAGATTCAAGTAAGATGAAGTCACTGACAACTTCAATCTTTTCTCCATCTATCATGATATTACCTATTGGCTGAGTGGTGAGGATTTTTTATTTATTGATGTTGAGACCTAATTCCTACTGATTTTTTATTTTCCACAGCAAGCAACTCAAGTCCTCGTCACTTTCACCAGGCAAGGCTGTGTCATCTGCATAGTGCAGGTTGTTGATGAGTCTCCCGATACTGATGCCACACTTTTCGTAAAGGCAAAAGTTTCAGGGGGGAAACAGAATATTTATATAGGCTCAAAGTTTTTCTTTCAAGATAGAGGAAAGCAAGAACCTTATAGTGGAAAAAGCACCTTAGCCAAGTGATGAAGATTAATGTCACTGGTATTAAGACAAACAGACACTGTGTACTATTCCCAGATACAGACACGGAGAAAGCATGTCACTTCTGTAGTACCCTAGCCCAAAATTCACACCCTCAATCTAATCATGAAGACCCATCAGACATACAGCAATTGAGGGAGTTTATCAAAATACCCACTGGTATTCTTAAAAAAATGTTAAAGACAGTAATAACAAGGAAACACTGAGCCACTGTCACAGAGTGGAGACTAAGAGACAAAGAAAAGGCATCAGTGGAAAATGGATTAGGTTCAAGCCAAGGCTTTGGTTTACCTCCTACTGCTGTGTCAGTGTTAATTTCTTGAATTTGATCTTGGAACTTACATTCAAAGTGTTATGTGAGGTAACATGGGAGGAGCTGGGGGAAGGATATACTAGAACTTGATATACAGTGTTGCTTCTTTTTTGGAAGTCTAAACAATTTCCTCTCAGAAAGTCAAAGTTTCACAGAAGTCAGCCCGCATCTAATGCAGAGATGTCCAGATCGAAGCCCAGACTGCTGGAGGGAACCTCTTCAAACCTTCCCAAAGAACAGACTCTTTACTAATCCTCTGCCTCATACAGTAGGTTCATCATTAAATATCACTGAGTATGAATGAACTACTTCTGAAAAGGAAAGCTTGCTACAAGACAAAGGACTCAATTGTGTTAGATTAGCAGACAGAAAAGGCAGGCGAGAAAACACCTAGAGTTAATCCTTCTCAGAGGTTATGTAGGCTTCAAGTTAATCTTTTTGGGGATAATCCATGGATCCTGTTGAATTTCCTCCATCTTCTTTGGTCATTTCAATGGTAAGAAGCGAAAGTTAGATTAAAGAACTCTCAGAATCATTTCCATAGTTTGGCAAGAGCTCTGAGTGATCAATGAAGAATGATGGGTGAAAACACACCATGTACTCTGCAGCACTCTGCTGCAGAGGGATGCCCATCAGGGTGACCCCCTGCAGAGGGCCTGCATGACGAGGGTGTTGCTCTGATCCCGTGCACAGAGAGGGCCCCGTGTCACCTGCAAGGGCTCTGGCTGCACAGGACTAAGGGAACGGCTTTCTGGGCATCTTATGCACACCTGCTTCTGGCCAGATACAAACACATGGGTTTGATCGCTCACCCCTGAGCCTGAATGACATTTGTTAATTCACCCAAATCAAACTCTGCTGCCTGCAATGGTAATTCCTCACCCACTGTGGATTTCCAAGAGAGTCTCTGAAGGCAATTACAAACAACATGTCTGAAAATGGCTCAAGTGATAATCACTGTTCGGGATGGTCCCGTAGCTGGTGTGCATCAATGCTGCCCACTTTTCAGCTGAGAACTCAAAGGGACCCCTGTGCTCACATTTCCCTCCAACTTCTGATGGTGAGAAGAGCATGCAGGAAGTGGGAAACAGATTCAAAGGTGCTTCTGCCACCACTCTCATGTTGTCATCGAGTCACTTACTCTGTATAAGGTGCAGTACTGGCTCCCCTCCACACACAACCCTCCCGAGTTCAGAATACATGAAGATAGCAATGCCTGCTTCCTGAAGTTATGGAATTCAATAGAATGCAGTAAACAGCTATTACCGGTGTTATAGAAAATAGGATGACTGATCGATGCTTACTTACCTCTCTCAGAGTTGGCTTGCCAATGAAAAAGTCTGTGTTTTTGCTGCTTTTGGCCGGGTTGAATTTGGGATTCAGGAAAGCACATCCATTCGCAATGGCCTCCAGGGGAGCTGGGCCCTCATAAGGGAACCCAAGCCCAACAAACAGCTGGAAGACAGAAACAAACACATATAAACACACAAGTCACGATAGGCTTCCCTGGCTCACAGTGGAACACTGGTGGTCTGTCCCTGTGAAAGTGTCAGAGATTCTGGAAGTTACCAGCCCCACAAATGGGGCAAAGAGAAGTCTGCTTACCAGACGGTCTGAAAGACAGAACCAGGGACCTTTAAAGGCCCCATGAAGCCAAGTGGCTCATCATGTTCTCCTGCTCTGTGGAAAGAGTAAGAGAATTAGGCATAAGGAGGGTGGAGAAAGGATAAACAAAATACCACAGCCCTGGGGGTTGTTCCTGACTAACCCCTACCCCCCCATCCCCTTAAGTTTCCAAGGCTGTAAATCGTTAGAACACCAGACTACCCATCTGTCTTCTGTGATGAGCAGGTGAGTTCAAACTGCCTCCCTTTCGGTTAGCAACCAGACACATTACACCCCATGCCACCAGGGCCCCCCTAAAAAGGGAATAAATGTTAGGAGTGTTAGGAGCAGGGAGTAATAAAACAGGCAAACAACAAGAACAAGAAAAACGAAACCCCAACAATAATCGTTCTGTGGCACACCAGGGGGGCATGACTGGAAAATCACTTGCCTGACTAAACAGAAGGTTTCTTCATTGAGCAAAAGAAACAGGCGGTTCTTTCAGCTGCACTGGGCACAGGGACAGAGAGGTCACCTGGTGGTCTGATTACAGTTCAAACAGAGCTGCTTTAAAGTGATGGTGGGTTGGTAAACACAGGTTTACATAATGGGGTTTTTGCTGGAGACACTAACAGCTTGGCTTTTCTTTTCCTTCAATGGGGAAGGGGATGTGGGTTTTCAATCACCAAGGTGGCTGCCCTTGCCAGCCACCAGCATGTGCTTCCCTAATGCGGCAAACAGATGGCAGCAAAACCACACTCATGTTCTTCCACAGCCTCAGCTAAGCCACTGTGACAAAGGGGACTGACTGGCTGTAATTCTGTGGCACCTATTCTCACATCCAAAAGGACATAGCACCTCCCTGATTCGCCTTGTTGAAGACCCTAGCTCCCAGTGGGGATTTTCACAGTGCTCAAAACTAGGGGTTAATGATGGGCCAGGTCCAAGCCTGGGCTTGGGGAGATGCAGGCTCTCCTGCTGAAATAGCCCCAATCTCACAGGCACATCAAGTAACAGGGAAGTGGCTTCATGCACCCTAGGCTCCTGCCATCATTGTGAAGAACATGCAGCCACAGAACCAGGCCTTGGGAGTGAAGGATGCTGTGGGACCACCAGACAGGGCTGTGTGCACGGTTCTGCCTCCCAGTGTCTCCTCAGCATCCCTGCCTTTGCAGCTATGTTAACTGAACGATTATTTAGAAAGGTTCTGCTGGAGAGCTGAGTCCAAGCTGCCAGGTTACCCAGGCAACCCTGTAAGACACAGATGGATGGTGGGCCCTCAAATTCCAGTGCTCAACACAAGGAGAGCTCCTGACTTCTCAGGGCAACAGATTAAAATCTCCTATTTTTCTTAAAGTTCCCTATACCATAACGGTATGATGTTTTCCACAGAACATAAGATGTACCTTTTTTTTTTTATAAAAAAATATTTTCTCTAAATCTCCAGATTCCTGGCTTTATTGTCAGAAAATTCTATGGAGATGGAGTAGGGGGCAAAGTCTGAGAAGCCTGGCAGAGATACCGTTAACCAGCCGTGCTGACCAGCATGCAGGGCAACGCTACATGTCCTAGTAGAAGGGATTCTGTATGGGGCTTCGAATGGACAACTTTTTAGAAGTATATTACCTGACCTTTCTTCTGATATATCTCTTGGTGGACTTGAACACCCACTTTTACAGTTAGTAGCTGATCACATTAACTGACTACACCACCCCAAGGATTCAGCTCCCACTGCTAACACAAAATCTAAACCAGTGATCACAGAGTTGACCCCAGCTCCTGGTGACCCCCTGTATGACAGATCCACGTAACAAAGACAAAATCCAAACCCGTGATCACAGAGCTGACCCCAGCTCCTGGTGACCCCACATATGACAGATCCATGTGGCTACAATCTTTTAGGTACAGGGCAGGCCTTTCACCCAAGGGTGGTTTCGAACTGCCAATATTTCAGTTAGCCGCTAACCGCTTAACCATTTGCATTACTCTGGGACAGCTTTTGGGTTAACTTCTATTAGAGACCAGGAAGGCAGTTAGCGAAAAACACGCCTGGATGAATATACACTTCTCCACTGAGGGATGGCATTAGGATTGGAGGTAGATTCATTAACAATCTGTTCTAAGCGGATGACACAACTTTGCTTACTGAACGTGAAGAGGACTTGAAATGCTGCAAAAGATCAAACATGAAAAGCTCCAAATCACTGGCAGTCAGACACATGTAAATCAAACCCACAATGAGATACCATCTTACCCCAGAGCAGTGGCAAAGTTTAGCAGGGCAGCAAGTAATGGATGTTGGAGAGGATGTGAAGAGATAGGAAATCTCATACATTGGTGGTGGGATTGTAAAATGGCACATCCACTCTGGAAGGTAGTTTGGCATTTCCTCAAAAAGCTGAAAAATGAGATTCCATATGACCCAGCTATTCTACTGCTTGGAATATAACCCAAGAAAATGAGAACTGAGGTACAAACAGAGACTTGTACACCAATGTTCATAGCAGCGTTATTCACCATATGAAGAACATTGAAACAGCCCAACTGCCCAAATGCAATGAAATGGATTGAGAAATGGATACATTCACACAATGGAATACTATGCAGAACGCAGAGCCAATGATTTTGTAAATTACTACTTAACATAAGAGGGACAGGAGAGCATTAGGCTAAGAGAAATAACTCAGTCTCATAAAGACAAATACTGTATAAGGCCATTATTGTAGAACGAGTATGAGGATCAAAGGGGAGGCTTAATCATAGGATCACATAATTTGATGGGTGGAGGGAGGGATGGGTAAAGGAAAGGGGAAAGATCCAGTGTGAAAGACAATGTTTATGAATTTTGTAAGCACACCAGCTGTTATTATGTGCCATCAAGTCACCTGCTACTCATAGCAATCCAATGAACAGCATGAACCCTGCCCTGTCCTGAGATAGTCTCACTAATTAAACACACCAACCCCCAATGACCCAGTTAATTAATCCATCTCATCTGGGGTCTTCCTCTCCTGCGCTGTCCCTCCACCCTTCTAGGCACGATGTCCTTCTCCAAGGACCTGTCTCTCCTGGCCACATGCCCAAAGTATGTGAGATGGAGCTTCAAAATTAAAAGATGGAGAAGAGAAAAGAGTTAAAAAACAAAACACAACACAACCACACATACAAAAATCCTCACCACTGGACCAAAAGACAATATGCTGATGGAGAAAAGATGCAAGTTGTCAACAATTTCATTTTACTTGGATCCTCAAGCAACATATGGTAACAACAGTCAAGAAATCAAAAGATGTGTCACACTGGGGAAGTCTGCTGTCAACGACCTCTAGAAATGGCTAAAGAGCAAGGGTGTCAGTTTAAAGACTAAGGAGTTCCTGATGCAAGCTAGCGTCTTTTCAATTGCTTCTTATGCACCTGAAAGTTAGACAGTTAATAAGGAAGGTAGGAAAAGAATTGATGCGTTTGAGTTATGTTGGTGGCAAAGAGAACAGACAACCCCAGGAACTGCCAGGAGAACAGACAGATTTATCTTGGAGAAAGTGCAACGACAGTGCTTCCTTAGTGGCAAGGAAGGTGACGCTTTATCTCATCTACTTTGGGCGTGATATCAGGAGGGTCCAGGACTTGGAAGAGAAGAGGATCAGGGAAGGAGGAAGACCTTCAAACAAATGGCCTGACACCGACTTCAAGAATGGGAACAGCAGAGAGCATGTGGAAGGTGAGGGATCAGACAGGGATCCAGTTGACTGCACACAGGGGCACGGCAAGTTTGTACAACTCAAGAGCATCCATTAGAAAAGTTCTTACAGCTTGAAAAATGTTGTGCCCTTTTTTATTCTTCAAGTCTAGCTCTCCGCATACTCTCTTTAACAGTTTGCTTCTTCTTCTCAAGCTGCCTTGTGAGATCACCTGTTCAACTCTTTTACTTCCACATCTTCTCCCTTGTTTTGGCTTCTTGACACTAGTGCAATTTTCAGGGTCTCTTCTGGCATCCATTCTGGGTTTTTTTTTCCTATGGCTTTCTTCACGGATTATATCATCTGGGCTTTGATCATTGGTGTTTGATGGTTCATACTTATTCTTAAGACGATTTTCAATTCAGGTGAGATAGATTCAAGGTTGTATGTTTGTTTTTGTGGACTTTTCATTTTCTTCCTCAATTTCAACTTGCACATGATTAATTGATTTTTCCACAGCCAGCACCTGGCCTAGTTCTCACTGATGATACTGAGCTTCTCCAATGATTCCTTTCCCAGTTGTAGTCAATCTGATTCCCATGAGACCCATGAGGTGAGGTCCATGTATAAAGTTTCCATCTGTGTCTTTTAAAAAAAGGGTATTTGTGATCAATAAATCACTGAACATACAAAATTCAATCATTCTATTTCTGACTTTGTTTCTGTCAGGAGATCAAGACATGTATTGCACTGGTAAAGTCTGCAGTTAGGGACCTCTTCAAATTTTGAGGAACCATGCTGTTAGTTCTAGAACTAAGGTCCACTTGATTCAGGCCATGGTCTTTTCAATCACTTGCTATTCAAGCTGCACAATGGTTAAGGATAATGAAGAATTGATGTCTTTGTACTGTGGTGTTGGAGAAGAGAACTGAATATCCTATGGACTTCAAACAAGATACATTTTGGAAAAGGTGTAGCCAGAGTGCTCCCTGAAGGCATGTTGCTAGGAGAGTTTATTCCTAGGAAAGGGATATCATGCTTGGAAAGGTAGAAGGGCAGCTAAGGAAAGAATGACTCTCAACCAGGTGGACTGATACAGTGATGGCAGCAATGGGATCCAGTGCGTCAGGATGGCACTGGACAGGGCAAGGTTCAGATCTGTTGTTCAAAGGG